AGCGGCCACTACACTCCAGTCTGGGCGACAGAGTGAGACTCCAACTCAAAAAAAAAAAGAAACCGATTTGGTAATCCTACTTCTCTTGGGTGTCTGTTTGCAAATTCATTCCTAGGGTGAGCACAAGAACCATCTCCCACCAGAAGGAGCATCTCTTCTCCTGGGAACACCCTCTCCCGGCTCAAAAGGCATTCTCAGATCTGCAGAGACTCAGAGCCTTCACTATCCTGGTCCCTTCTCTGTCAGTTCCACCAGTCTCCCCAAGGCACTGAGATCCCAACACTTGTGAGGGACTCTGGCATCTCTTCAACAGCCACCATGCTGTCAGTCCTGAGGGGCTTGAGGACTGTGTCAGGCTTGGCAGGAGGTGGGAAGGTGGACAGTGGTCTGACACATCCTTGGGCAATGTGGGATTTATGATATACTCTCAGACCGTGAACGTCTTATCTAATCTCATCCTTCTTCAGTAGGACATACCTGTGTGACACTGTTCAGAGGCCTCTTTGTATGTGGGAGCCACAGGGAGTTTATTAAGATATATTCCCGGCCTCTCATGGACAGAAGGAGCCGGGCGCCTCATGCCTGTAATCTCAGCCCTTTCGGAGACCGAGGCAGGAGGACTACTGGAGCCCAAGTGTTCGAGACCAGCCTGAGCAGCACAGCAATACCTTGTTACTACAAAAAAAATTTTTTTTTTGAGTCAGAATCTCACTCTGTCACCTAGGCTGGAGTGCATTGGCATAATCACGGCTACTGCAGCCTCAACCTGCTGGGCTCAGGCGATCCTTCCACCTTAGCCTTCCAAGTAGCTGGAACTATAGGCATGTACTACCACATTAGTCTAATTTTTTTGCAGAGATAAGGTCTTGCTGTACTGCTCAGGCTGGTCTCAGACTCTTGAACTCAAGCAATCCTCCTTCCTCAGCCTCTCAAATTCCTGGGATTACAAGCCTGAGCCACAATACCTGGCCCATACTTTTATTTAAGCAAAAAAAAAAAAAAAGCTGAGTTGATACCAAGAAAAGCATGAAGCTCAGAAAGTCCAGAAGGTAAAGGCATCCAGCAAAAATCACGAAGTTGAAACAAGAGAAGGTAAGGTTTATAAAGCGCTGGTTTCGAGGTAGTGTCTACACAGCACTGAAGTAGTGTCTGTCTACACAGGACTCAGCAAATTTTCTCCCTTATCCTATGCGCTTGGTAAGCCAACGCATATTATTATTTCTCTTTCCATCCCCAATCCAAATATATTCCCACTTCTATGACTTTCTGGGGTCCCAACAGATAGGAGACTTACTGAAACAGAGGAAAGAAATTAGCTTAGGGATCATCACGGCCGGTCAGCAGGGCCAAGAGTTCTTCTCAGGCTGAGCAGTCCACAGAAGAGAGAAAGGCTGGAGTGTCACCGCCCCTCCTGGTTTCAGAGTGTGGGCAGTGACAGCTCCTCCCTGGCTTTCAGTTCCCTCCTCCCACATCCATGTTCAGGAAATGTGTTGGTGCCACTAATTACGACACGTTCCTCACCCCTCGTTTTCAAAAGCTTGCTTGACTCACAGGAAATCCTCTTCTGCCTCAAATTTGAGGCACCAAACAGGTACCCCTTGAGATACTTCAGACATACCGAGCAGATGAAATCACTTCACTCTTTTTATTTTATTTTATTGTTATCTTAGAGTTGTACGGTCTCTGTAAGTATTTACTATGTAAGTCAATAGCAGGCAGGTGAGGTTTGGGCTTCTCGCAGGCACTCTCTCCCCTGGTACTGGACCTGGTACCCAGTGTGTAGTTATGTGTCCCTCCTCCCTCCTCCCTCCCCTCCCATAGCAGCATCCAGCATCTGTTATCCCCATCTTTGTGCCCATGTGCCCGGGCCCCATCAGGGCCCGCTTATGAGTGAGAACATGTGGTATTCAGTTTTTTGTTTCTGGGATGGTTCACTTAGCATGCTGCAAAGGAAATGATTTTGTCCTTTTTTATGACTGTGTGATATTCCATCATGTATATGTACCACACTTTCTTTATCCAATCCACTTTCTATTTTTTATTTTATGTTTTGAGTTAGAGTCTCACTCTATCGCCCAGGTTTGAGTGCAGTGGCATGCTCACAGCCACCCCAGTGTCGACCTGCTGGTCTCAGGTGATCCTTCCACCTCAACCTTCCAAGTAGCTGGAACTACAGGCATGTGCCACCATGCCCAACTAATTTTCTGATTTATCATAGAGACGAGGTCTTGCCATGCTGCCAAGCCTGCTCTTAAGCCCTTGGACTCAGGCAATCCTCTCACCTCCAAAAGTGCTAGGATTACAGGCGTGAGCCACTGCATCCAGCCTCAGTCCACTTTTGATGGGCATCTGGGTTGGTTCTGCGTTTTTGCTATTGGAAAGCACTTCACTCTTGAGAACACTGGAAGTTCCTGGACAAACATTGAAGTTATGAGACATTGGTCAAACAGTCCTTGCAGCCCGGATTTCATGGCTGGGAAAGGCTCATAGACCCAAAAATGACCTTTCAACCACAGTATTCATCAACCAGTACAGAAGACAAAGATTAAATGTGGTTTGGGTTTGGGTGATTTTTTTTTAAGTATATTCACTTGAAATTTTGCTTGAAAAGGTGCTTTGAAATGATGAAAGGGTTATCTCTGAAGTCGGGATAAAGGTGTACCGGTGATTCCCAAGATTATTCCTCAACCTGCCTTCCACTCTGCTTTTTTAAATTTTTCCCTTGACAAGGTTACAGGGTATTTCTTCCACTTTTCCTTGGAGCTGACTACCTTTTTGCTTAAATGGAAAAATCTCTTCTCCTGAACAGTCTAGGGAGAAAAAGAAATTTAATTTAAAAAAGTTTAAAAAGAAAAAAATCATCCCTCAGCATTACATTTAGTATATTCTCTCTCTTTTGCTTTTTCTTTCTTTCCATTTTTTTTTCTTTTCTTTTTTGAATTGGAATCTCACCCTGTTGCTCAGGCTGGAGGGCAGTGGCACGCTCATGGCCACCACAGACTTGACCTGTTGGGTTCAAGTGATCCTTCCTCCTCAACCTCCCAGTAGCTGAAACTACAAGCACATGCCATGATGCCTGGCTAATTATTTGATTTATTGTAGAGAGGAGACTCACTATGTTGCCCAGGCTGGTTAGTATATTTTCTTGATAAGGGAGGCAGACAATGGAATAGGTCAAATCTACATAGTGTCCCATTTTTAGTAACTGATTTGAAAGCCTCCAAAATATTTGTTTTTTTGAGTAACATGTTGTTCATATTTTAATGTAGAATCATTCATTTTGCATGAAACAAGAAAAAGAAAGGTGTTTATGTACAGGTTTAAGAAAAACATTCTCTCAAAAAAATAAATTCCTGAGTATTTTATAATTTAGAAATAGCATATATCATCAGATCAGACCACAGTAGCCAGGCATGGTGGCTCGCTCATACCTGTAATCCCAACACTTTGGGAGGCAGAAGTGAAAGGATTACCTGAGCCCAGGTGTTTACGACCAGCCTGGGCAACTTGGCGAGGCCTTGTCTCTACAATAAATCAAAAAATTAGCCTGGCATGGTGGTGCATGCCTGTAGTCCCAGCTACTTGGGAGGCTGAGGCAAAAGGATCACCTGAGCCCAGCAGGTCGAGGCTGCAGTGGCCGGGAGTGTGCCACTGCCCTCCAGCCTGGGCAACAGATTGAGACTCTGACTCAAAAAAGAAAAAAAAAATAGCATGTGTCATCAGATCAGACCACAAAGGTTTTGTGCTACAATCAAAGTACCTTCATATTTAAGTTGAGAAGCATCTACAGGGAAGTGAGTATAGGAACCTAAATTATAAACTTAAATAGTTTTTTGTGAGCCTTAGTAAAAAAATCACAATCTCTTTCTAAGCTAGTCAATGCATATTCATACGATGAGCCAAAGCTTGTGAAACACCCATTAAAGTGATGTTTTCTAAGTAAATTCCTAAAAAACAAAATGATTGATGTAACTGGAAAGTGAGTATTTAACCAATACTAGCATAA